ATCAAAAATTTTTAGGAATACGTTTTGAAAGCGTCGCCCATGTGACGACAACGTGACCATGCTAAACGGAAAGCTGATCATTTTAAAAATTTTCAGTTATCTGTTTTGGATAAGACTTGTTTTTTATGTCCATCGTCTTTGTCAAATTGAACTGAATTGTATTTTAATGAATATTGTCTTGAAGAAGGTTTATTAAACTGAAACGTCAGATGTCGACATTTCATTCATTTTAAACAACATAATTGCATTTAAGGATTTTTGGTTTGTTTTTTCAAATTTTTCTTCATATATATATATATATATATATATATGCGCACACGCTACATGATGTGATATATATATAATAAATATTTCGTGTGTGTGTTGGTCCAAGTAATCTTCAGATAAATATAATTTTGAAAAATATATCAATGGACACTTTAATCTCCTAGGCCAGAGATGGTGAACCACTGACCCACAGGAGTCAGTGAAATGAGGTCATGAAATATGGCTCAGCATAAACTATATGAAATCAACCACCAGGAATGGATATCAATGATGCATGCATAAAGCTGAATGACAAAAAAGTAAACTTGAATAAAAAAAATATTAGCAGCGAAGATGCAGCAACAAGTTTCATGTTAAACAATGTCAGTAAATATATCAATGACCCATTTATCTTCATGAAAAATTAAAAAAAAAAAAAAAAAAAAAAAAAGACCCAGCTGTAAAGATTCACCATCTCTGCCCTAGTCTGTTGCTCCATAGAACAATCCTGAAAGAATTTTGGAGCATTAAGTCTGTTTTTTATTGCCTGCTTACTGCTGCCTTGATGTTACTTAACTTCTACCATCATTCCTGTTGGTGTCATAGTAATTCTGAATTCAATCCCTGGGCTAGGCAAAAAGAGAGATACCAAGACATGGAATAAGTTATCGCCACTCCAGTTTAAAGAAAGGATTCAAAATTCCTTGAAGAAATGCTATAACAAAAATGTAAACATAAGTTTGACTGTAAATAATAACTCCCAATTCCAGAAATTCTGACAAAAATGTTATAAAGAAAAAATGTTTTGAGTGGCACATGCAATTCAATGAATAGTCAAAAAATTCCCAACCAAAACAGATAAAAATGTAGACAAAGTGCAAACCTTAGTGAAGTTATTGTCCAACTTTTCTCCTTCTCATATGTTCTAAAAATTTTTTTAGGAAGGAGAAAAAAAAATAATAATGCTGAGTTAACAGGTACTAAAAAAATTGAACCATTTATAAATTTTGGCTACTTCCTAAATTGAAAAATGCCTTGAAAGAAAAATGATTTACATACATAACTGATATTCAGTATCATGTGACTATATTACTGAAAAGTATTTGAGAAAATGTGTTTTAAGAATGATTTTCGACAATCTCATGAAGTGCATTGCTTCATGAGGAAGAATACTTTGATGGTCAATAGTGACCAGCTAAACAAAATTTGCTTTCATAGGGCCATTTCAGGAATTAAATTGTCACACCTTGCATAAGTGTTTTTAGTTAAGGTTTTATATATTTAAAAAAAAATAGATAAATAAAAAAAAGAAGAAAAAGTTGTGAATTTGTGGTAAGGACTCAAATGTCTATGTCTATGAAAACAAAAAGAATAATTAGATGAGATTTCTTTTGCTTACAAAATGTTAGTCATTTTAAAATATGGAGTATTAATTTGCAAAGTAAAAAAAAAAAAACATTTATGAAAAATAAAATAAAATACCCCAAGCAAGGCAATAATGTCACTAAGATGCAAAAATACTACTGAAAGTGAAAGAGAAAGAAATGACTTTAGAAGGAACCAGAAATCCAATCCTAAACAGAAAACAAGGGATAAACATCTACTCCTATTCAAAAGGCCAGGGATCAGCGTGAACTAAACTGTACACAAAACTATCTACTTCTATTGAGGAAAAAAAAGAAAGAAAAAAGATGAATAGTAAATAAAATTCCAGATATTAAAAGTATAGAGTTGTAGTAGACTTTAGAAGGAACCAGAAACCCGATCCTAAACAAGAAACATAGGATAAACCTCTACCCATATTCAAAAAGCTGGGGAGGAGTGTGAACTGGACAATAGACAAGCCTTTCTATTCTTACTGAGAATGAACAAAAAAAAAAAAAAAAAAAAAAAATTAAATAGTAAATATTTCAGAGTTTAGGCAGAGACATTAGTAGTATAGAGTTGTGGTAGACTTTAGAAGAAACCAGAAACTCAATCCTAAACAGGAAACAAGGAATAAAACCTATACTCCTGTTCAAAGAACCAGGAAAGAGTTTGAACCAGATGATAGGTGGGTCTATCTAAGTGAACATAAGATATATAGTATTTTTTTTAGGCAATGTATATTTCTTGTAGTAGTATACTTCTTATATTTCTATTTATCACATGATATATTCTTGTTCTGTACTTTACAATAAATTTATTAATCTATAAAAAAAACTTTAATGTCATAAAATAGATAACATATATATTTTTATGAAATTATACTGTATAATAAAAATACATTATATGGATTCATTTGGGGAGAAAAAAAAAGTTACATCTTTCTCTTCAAAATGTATGGATTAAGTATATAATGTCAAAATAATTAAGTAGTTTAACAGATCACACGACACTTATTAGGCTGACGTGATTAAATATACTTTGATGTTTAAAAAAAATTTATTCAGTATTATTATTGTTTAGGTAATAAGCATTATAACATAGCACAAATAGCTATATTGTGGAAAAAGGAATTTGACAATATAAGCATTTTTTACGTATTTATGGTTATTTTTTAACTTATCAAAAACAACATTCTTGTACATGTAGTTATGAATAATATACATTAATTACTAATTTTATTAATAACTATTTGTGCTCAGTTATTGACATTAATAGCTATCTGCTGATGTGTTAAGTTTGGAATAATGCAGTAATAAAAATTTAAATTTCATCTCTCTGATAGATGTTGTGATCTGTAAAAAGATTCTTTTTTTTCATGTTTTATTCTATAGTTTTGTATACAAGTTAGGATGTTCAAAATCTCACTAAATATATTTTCCTTAATATTGGTATGTTGTTCTTTGAATAAAGAATGTATAAAAAAGATTATTATTAAGTCAGCTGATTTAATGAGGGTAAATAATATACTAGTAATGGTTTCTTAATTTCTTTTAGATATAATATTTCTGTACTAACATAATCATTTGATATATTAATATGAAATATATGTAAACAGCATATGAAAAAAATCAACCTGTTTTATTGTTAGTAAAGAATATTTATCAAACCTTTTGAGATATGAAAATATGTGCACTTTATCCAATGTAAATAAAGCAATTATGATTGTATTGTTTTCATAAAAATTCTTTTAATGGCTACTATCACAAGTAGTACTTTTTCTTTTCCCTATCATATATAATACTTTGAAATTTGCAAGCTTTTAAAAATTTATATATTAAAAAGCTTGCCGATAGATAACAACTTAAATCATTTAAAGTCAATTTATAACATTGTTAATAGTCATGGACTATTTAATGGTTGAAATGTTGAGGCAAACATTTTAAGAATAAAAAAAAATAAATGCTTTATTATGAATTAATAAGTTTAGAAAAACATTTAAAAACTTAATATTTTAAAAGTAAGGTGTTTTACTTCTGCAATGCATGCACAAACTCAGACTGAAATGCAATTATAATAAATAAAAACTCACTAAAAATTTAAGTAACTAAAACCTTGTTTTAAATATCTACATCAACTAATAAAATAACAAAATAAGAGTTTTATTACTATTCAAAAGTAGTTTCATTTACAGGTCACAATTTCAATAATATCATATATAAACACCCACACAAATTGTAAAGATTGTATATTTCCATTGTTCTTGATAGGGAATCACATGACTGAATTTATCAATATGTTACACCAATCAAATAGCGTCATTATATGCTGACTTTCCCTCAGCATAGAACAAAGGAAACTATTTATATTAAAAATTGCTAAAACTGAATATGTACAATTTTCAAATATACTTGGAAAATGATTCAAAGATTCTGAATTCTTCCAGATAAAAAATAGGGAGATCAAATCTTATATTTCAGATTTGGGAACTGAGGTTCAACTCTGAAATTTCTTTTTCTTTTGGATGAATTACAGATATGAAGCAGATTTTAAGTTAAAAAGCTCAATAAGAAAAAAAAAAAATCAAACTCTTCAACAAGCATGCTCTCCTATCAAACCATTTTAATAAAGTCATAACATTGTGAAGGAAATACAAAGCAAGTACAATTAAATTTATCAAACTTTTACAAATACCACTATCAGCTGATTTATTTCCTCTATTCTAAGGCTGTAAAACGTTTTTTTAGCTTTTCTGCTTAAAGTGCACCAGTTTCTTAGATTAAATTACCAATTAATATCAAGTGTTATCAAGTGTCTAAATTATACCATAGATTAACAGTAGAAATTGCTGGTTCATTGACCAATTATCTTCATTACAATAGCAGAGCACTGTTTGGTTAAAGTTAAAAATAGTTCAGTCAGTTATGTGCCATGCCTGATACACACTTAGGTGATCATGTATCTTTCAATACAATACTGACAAAGCACATTTTTTCCCGCAGTAGGTTGTCATTTCTTTCTGCGGAAGACCAGTTACCATACAAGGCTACAGAACCTGGTCTGTCCTGCTATTTACGCATAGCTGTGGGGAGAAGAGGATTCATACCTTTCCCAAGGGTATTAGCATGTAAGTGAATGTAAAATGAATTCGACTGGGATTCAAACTTGGCTCTCCAATTCCTCAATCTGAGCCGTTATTACTCCTCTCTAAAAATAGTTACAATTCATTTATCTGTTAAAATATTCAGTGGAAGAAAAGTAACATTTGAACATAATCTTTGTATAAACTTTTCAAAAAAAAAAAAAAAAAAAAAAAAAAAAAAAAATAAATGATACCTTTGTTATACAATATTTTCCTGTAGATTTACTTTTAGAATTAACATACTCACCTTTCTCAGGTACGCTTTTCACAGTAACTAAAAATAAAAGTAAGAAAAAAAAATAATTGGATTAAGTGAAAAATAACAGGTGATTTATTTATGCATACAAGAGCTGCTAAATATGTCAAGAATTTTGGAAAAAAAAACTCAAATAAAATGAGCAAATAAAGTTTGATCGAACTTTATGCAGTTGAAGAAAGATTTTTAAATGCCCAATATGAATTTATTTGAACAGTTCTTATTTTTACAGACATATTTCATGAAAATCTGAAAGTTTATTTCGTTAAAGTAATGTTAAATCATGCAAACTTTGAAAGTCATCTGACCTGAACCAAAAATAACATCCCGTTCTGCATATCCACTAACCAACGAAACTATTCAAAATGCTTCTTTCGTAGGTCTGAATAACCTGTCTGTAGGCTGTAGAAAACAGGTGCGGTTTCTGACCGAACTGAGTCACATTTACAAATCTGTAAAATACATAACGATGGAAAAAAAGTAACTTATCTGACTCTAATTAAGCATAATTAAAAATGAAAACTGAGCCAGAACCTTATGCGCAACATATTTTCTTTGTTTTGTTTTATTTGCTTTCAAGATTGTTTGTTTTTTTCTTTGCGCCTGAAATTTTCTAAACGCCCTTTTTAAATTGACATTTGGATTATAAACTGCTTGTTTAATATTTTCCGGGTGTTATTTAATTAGAGATATTTGGGACAATAATTTAATGGAGTTATGTAAAAAAATAAAAGATGAAGAAACCTAAACAAAATCAAAACAACACACACAAACCAACATATGACTGAAAACAAAGACATGAATAATTTACGTTTGCGGAATATTTAATGTGATTTTAAAAAGCGACATTCGAAATTATGAAGTTGAAGTGCTAAAAATAAATAAATAACGAAACTTAAAAATAAAAAAATAAGGTGGACCTCCTTCCCAGGGCAGTACCTCCTCATTGTACAAGAGAGGGTCGGAGTATTCTGACGCTTTCGTGACACTAGTAGCACGGACTGGGCAAATTTTTTTCCTTGTCCATCCGCAAGAAGTGTGTGGGCTCCTAAGTTAAAATAATCATGGGTCTTACTCTTACACACCCCGGGTAGGTAGTTAAATACTGAACAAACAAGTAAAATGTTCATTACCTTGAAATCCTAATAAAGCAAAAACAAAAACTTTCAGAATAAATGTCATAGCTCCAACACAAGCAGTAAAAACACAAAAAATATTTTTACGCAAAATTTAAAAGTTTTTCTTTCAAGATAAACTCATCCTGTTTTAGTTAAGCAGAGATTTTACATAATTTCAACACCTCGTTTTTATTTATAGTTGTAAGAAGCGTATTTTAAGTGAGAATAACAGCTTACAATTTGGCCATATAGCACCTGTCAAATTTATTTTCAGTTAACATGTCACTTGTACGGTATCGTCAAATATAAACAAACAATATTCTTTTTACAGTGACCTAATAAATTAATTTATTAGGTAACAAAAATATATCCTTTCTTTATCACATTTTTGTTTTCATGAATTGAAATAACTATGCATCCGAGCGAAAATAATTTGCTTAACCACAAAAACTGTTTTTGAATTTATTGAAAAATGTTATGTTATATTAATGATGACGTCAAGTTATTATTCAAACATTAAGCAACTATTTCGGTTTAGAAAGAAGTAAATGTTTTTAGTTCATATAACAAATAAATGAATATTAATTCGAAACTTACTCTGGGTAATTAATACTCAATTTATAAAATAAAAAAAATAGGTGAGAAAGTACTATCACTATAAAAACAGATGTGCACATAAAATACTTTGCTATTTAAATTTATTTAATAATGCTTTCAGTAAGAATATCAGCTGAGTAATTGTTGTTGCTAAGTGAAGCAAGAGGAGGAAAAAAGCTATTTTTCTTTTTCCTACCCATCTTGAATTATTTTTGTTTGTTGGTAATTAAATAACCTGTGCATTTGTAAAATAGAGCAAGCTTTATGTAAATAAAAAAAAGAACAACCTTTGTTTTTATAAGTACATAAGAGGTAAATTATATATATATATATATTTTGGCAGCTAGAAAAATAAGATAGTTAAAAAAAAAAGTAATTGACAAGCACTAGATGAAAAGTACATCTCGCAAAGTGGGAGAAATCAGAGAAATTATATTGAGGGCGCAAAACATGAAAATAAAGCATTTTGCTGAAAATTTTAATGTAAGAAAAAAAAAAGCTAGAAAGTATATCCACACATTTATTTTAAGAGAACAACAATAAAGGAAGCCTAACGTGAAAATGTAAATTAAAAACATTTAGTGAAATGATAGAAATGAAATAACTGCAAAGTTAAGCATGTTAGAGATCAAAGCATAAATTATTATTTGAACTTACATAAACACATTTGAATAACGTATGCGTAATAGGACCAAGCAGCTACAGCCGTTATGAACACAACAGGGGCCCATCTTAGCACATCACAACAACCACGCATTAACGCCGATGGAGCCATCTTGTCGGAAGTAAGGCAAGAATTTTTCATAATTAATTAATATCATGTGCGCATGTGCTTAGAGAGAAGTTAGAGGTAACAGAGGTAAAAGGTCATAACCTGAGAGGTCAAATTAAACATATTTATAAAATTGAGTATATATACATTTCAAATAGCTTTTTTAACGAAAGGAATATCAAATGCAAAAATAAATTAATATACGTTTAGAAAAAGAATTAAGTAAGTATACGCTCGACAGTATTTATTGCATTCTAAACTCAAAAAAGCTATCGTTAAATTTGCAAACGCTATCCGCTACAGTACAAATATATAAAATAAAAAGTTGAAACGATTTTTTTTTTGCTGCTAACTATCTACAAAAAATATAATAGGTCGAATTTTATTTTTTTTTAAATCAGTATTAAAAAAATAAATAAATAAATAAAAATATGCAGCATCATTAAAAAGACAGCGATCAAAATTTTTCTAGAGTAAAAATAAATAAACCCGGTAGAACTTTGATAACGTCAATAGTTTTTTATTGTTGGTGGGAGGAACTGATAGCTTTGAAGTTCAAAATTTAAGTTGTCTATTTATTTAAATTTGAATTCTGGTTATTTGTGTAAATTTGTTACCATTTTTAATGTATCCAATAACACTAACAGGTTAATCAAAATCTACCAATTAAAGAAAATATTTCAACTTCTTTTTTTTTTTTTTTAAATAGATTGGAAAATGTAAAGTAAAGAATTAAATTGATTACATTCATTTTTTTTTTTTTAAATTCTAAGCTAATAATTCTAGTTTTTATGAACGTTTTCTGAATTCCTAATTAAATTGCTGAAGATATTCAGGTAATCTTTTTTTACTGTTATATATGATATGTAGATGAGCAATGATTTTTTTAATTTTTATGCCCACAATTACAAACTGCATTTTTACAACTTAATTTTTGTATAAAATTTAACAGGCAAATCAATTTATAAATTGTAAGTTATATCAGTAAAATCTTTAAAATCCTGAATCATTTTTGTTTAGTCATCTTGAGATGCTTAATTAATATGCTATTGTCCAAATAATTCATTACTTATTGAGCACAAGCTGTTAAAATCTTAAACTAATTAGAATTTATACTGATAAATATTATTATTTTTTTTTTTTTAAATGTGTGTGTGTGTGTCAAAATGGGTAAAATTTGATAGCATTTTTTAATCAGAAAAATAAAAGGATTTAGTTTCTTTTAAAATCTTAAATCACTTATACAAATTAATTACAGACAGGGCCGGTGCATACCATTCTTGCCTCCCTCAATAGGGAGGAGCATGATTGGGTACCCTGGGGCAGTGTTTTGTGACCCTTGCTATTGTATCAACATTTACTTTTTTCTACCAACATTTATGTACATTACAAATTAAACTAAGTACAATTGACTATTAAAGGATGAAAAATTTATAATTTATAAAATTCACTATTTTTTAACCATAATGTGTTAAAGAATGTGTTAAAATTTTCAACATTTTAACAAGAAAAATTTCAAGTTGATGTTAAAAATTGCGGCAAAACATTGTTAATTTATTTAAGATGAAATGATGTATTATTAGATGTATTTAGATACATTGTATTTATTTTCAATTTTTCTAGTTAAATTGTTCACCTATATTGCATATGATCCACTATTGTAAATAATTGGGTTATAATAAAATTTGTATTTTATATGAATATTACCTTGTAAAAATTAGGATGTAGTAGAATGGGTGGGGGTTGTCACATTTCGGGGTGTGGTAAAGCTGTCATCATGTAAATTTGGTGGGGGACACAAAACCATTGTTTAGTCCTGATTAAAAAACCTTTTTCTTTTGAATATAAAAGCAGTTAATATTCAGCAATTTAAAAATTAGAAAGTTCTTACTTTCATGAGAAGAAGGTTATTCATAAAAAAATATACTGAAATTGTGTACTATTTACTTTGTTTGGACTATCATCCTCATCTTTGTTGCCATATTTATCACAATGTATAGGGCATTGTACGCTCTGACCTTCTTCAGGTGGTTGGAATGTTGAACTGAACCCTTTATTTTGCTCGCTGGAGTAGACTGTTCTAGTTCCACATGCCATGTCTAATGGATGTCAGATATCAGTTATCTCCTGTTAATTCCCCTCTCCAAGTTCTCTACTGCCTTGAACTCACACTCTTTGGGTCCTGTCACTGGATGCCTTTATCCACTGTGCCATGTGTCCTTGAGGACATCTGTGTATGAATTTCTGGGTATTATAAAACTAATGTCTTCAGCGACCATCTTTTACCAGTGCTCATATTGCAATTTTTGCTGTTATCATTGCATTTTTTTAACTGAGCTCTTATTGCAATTTTCATTGTTATTACTGCTTTTCTCTGGCTCTCCTTATTACTGGTTCCCATATTGTCTTCATTTCTATGCTTGGTTGGTTCAGGAGATTGTTTTTGGTCTAGCATATGTGCTGATTCCTTAAGTTTACAAAATTTTCCAATGATGTTCTTTGTCTATGATTTCAACCTGATCCCACAGAGGGCTGTGATTTCTCTTTTATATCTCCATATGTGGTCAGCCATGCCTGATTTTTCCACTTCACCTCATGTTACAGCTTTTGGTGTTCTTGAAATCTTACCTTAAGGGGTTGGCCTGTTTCTAGGCTTTTATTTCTTTCTGCAGTTGCACAAGATATGGTGTATCAAGTCTTTAGTCATGTTCTCCTCTTCTGGGGGTCTTACTCTGTGAAGTATCTGTGATAGTATTGTCCAATTTTGAGGGTTGTCCTGATGTTATATGGACTGCAGATCCTTTGTATTTTCTCCAATAACCCCTTCAATCAAATTTTTTAAACAAATTCTGAGTGTTCTTGGAGAACCCAATTAAAGGAATAACTTCTTTCCATTAGACATGGCACGTGGAACTAGAACAATCTACCCTAGCATTTAAAAATAATAGGGTTCAGTTCAACATTCAACCACCTAAAGAAGGCTGGAAATAATTAACGACAAAAATGTTGTGATAAATATGGCAACAAAGATGAGGATGATAGTTCAAACAATGTAAAAATCTACATAATACCTCATCACAGAAATATGGACAGATACCAAAATTGTGATTAAAAATATTGGTCACCTGAATGACAATAGATCCAATATGTCCTATTTTAAACTTTTAAAAATGTAAAAATTTCTGTTTTCACATTTTTTCCATAAAAAAATTGAACATCCAAGTCCAAACAATAATAAAAAAATTACAATAAAATTTTAAAACATGTATGCCTTTAAATAAATGATTTGTATTTTTTTGACATATAAATATATGAATTTAAAAACCTGTTAAAAAGAAAAAAAAATAGTATTTAGTTGACCTAAATAAAGTTGGATCACAAAAAAAAAAAAGTTTAGAAATGAATCATCAGCAAAGATTCACTAAACAAAAAATGTTTTTTGTTGAAGATGATTCGTTTGAAGTCACCAACACATAAATGTCATCAGTGAAGATTCTCTTTTTTATCTATGCTGTTGTTATTTGAGATGATTTTTTTTTGTTGCTGACACATGATTTTTCATATAAAAAAAATCTATGAAGATATCTCTTTTGTGTTTGAACAACTTCAGAAGCAGTTGGATTTCACATCACTGAAAATTGAAATCTATGAGTTTTAAAGAAATTGAAAATTATGAAATTTTGTGTCTTGTAAATTGGAATATTTTTTTCATTTGTAAAATATTATCTGTTAAAAGGCAGAACTTTTGTTTTAATATTTTTTTATTTAAGATGAAAAATATGGTATGCAATTGTTTGGAAATAGGATTTATTTTTATATGTATTTGGAAAATGTTTACATATTTAACCACTATAGAAAACTGTCAAATGGCCTGAATATCTTTTCAACAAAAATAAAATGGCAAAAACATATCTAGAAATAGTTTATCATCTCATATCTGTCAGAAATCAGTTTAATTATGAAAACCTTAAAAAAAAAATTTGGGTTTTTCATGATTTTTATTTTCAAAATGAAAATAAAATTCCCAAAATTCTTTTACCAAATAAAATATAGACATTTCATTTTTGCATTTGATTGTTATGGTGATGAAAATGGGGTTTGCTTTTATCAATTTTAAATGAAAAAAAATTAAATATATTTAAAAATGAAAATTTAATTAAAACTAAAAATCAGGACTATCCAGAGAATTTTTTTTTTTTGGTTTTTTTAAAATTTTAAAAGGTTATCACCTGATAATTAGCTATTAGAACATGGAATAACCATTGCAAAATACAAAGCTGTTTTCTATTAGATAACAACAGTTCATGAAAAAAAATTTTTCCTTAACAACAAAGGAATTTTAGTTACTTTCTTTTAGAACAACAGTTCATGTAAATCAATTCCTTAGCAACAGAAGAAATTTATTTACATCAAAAATTTGGATTCAAAAATCTTCGGTTCAAGGGTCAAAGACGGGTGATTCATTACAAAATATTAAAAATTGCAAACAGGCATTCTCAAAATATAAAAAGCAAGGGTTCAAGGTTTAGAATTAAATTAATTTACAGAAAAAAAATAATGTGATGGATAAATTGTCATCTAAATTATGCAAAAATGAAAATAACACTGACATCTCATTTTAACAGATATATTTACCAAAATTAAAAAAATATCTTAAAATACTAAAAGTTTCAATAAAATCAAAAATTGGCTTCAACCACATTGCCAGACAAAATGACTTTGCAACTCTTCTGGACGGTCTCCTTGTTTAATTTAATTGAATGTTATAATCCTTGCCTTCAATTCATCTTTGGTGTTACAAGGAGTTTTGTTGGTCTCTTGCTCAAATGGGCCACCCACATTTTAATCAAATATTTACAGTTTGAGGAGTTAGGTCAGCCAGATGTAAGGAGTGATGTGGTTTTTGAAATTGTCTGACAGCCATGACTGATTTTCTCCTGTTTGTGTGGCATGGTGCAGAGTCCTGTTGCCAGACATAGGGTTTT